CTTGGAGAAGGAGTTTGAGGAATGTGACGTGGTGAAGGTGGATACTGCCGTCTTGGATTCACGGGATTGCGATGAATCCTCGTCAGAAAAAGTTGCTTGTCGAATGCAACATTGAACCCGGAATCGCACACGCTTCAATGGATCCCAACACAGGTTGAGAGGACTCAAAAGGGTCCACATTGAAGGCTGGTGTGGACCCGTTTGTGTCCTCTCAGTCTTGTGACAGTGATATATGCAATTTCACACCCAGTTTTTTGAATAAGGGGGTTGGCCAAACACAATGCTATGATCTATATTGTACCATGTAAACAACAACAATCAATAAACAACATTCACCAACTACGTTGGAGTTGATGAACTCAACCCTGGTTGAACTTCTCAAGCAAGATTAGGTGTATCATTTTGCTTGCTCACCCTCTCAATTTGGGGTTACCCCAAGTGCCCCATTGAGGCCCCCTTGACGTTGGCAATCGGTCTTTCACTGCATAGCCAAAGATACCTGAGAGGGGTTGGCCACTCCTCTAAGGTGCAGCAGGGTGACCACTTCGGAACTAGCAGTGAAGACATTTCACTGCAATAGAGCAATGCAATCATATGATTTAAGATAGGTGGGACTTTGGCAGCCAGTGATGGGTTTCCCTACAGTTTTTTCAAGATCTATGGCTGCCAACAAATGTCCCCAAGCAGCTCCGCAAAGAACAAAGAGGTCTCGGGCTGATGCAATACGATGTATTGCCGTGGAATCATGGGGCTGGCCTCTGTCCAGTCTGCGACGATGCTTCTTGGCTTTTTGTGGTTTCCATAGGTATGGGTACCTTTAGGCGGAAGCCACTTCGGGGTTTTGATGTGCCAAGTACACTCGATCTTTCACTCGTCTACCAGATTCCGACATGTGCAGAACACGTGTTGGCGTAGCAGTTTATTGTACAAAAGAAAGGAGCGGCCAAAAAAACAGTTGACATGTTTTTCCGATCTCGCTTTCAAGTGAAGTTTGCAGAGTTTGTCAGCTCTTCGTTGAGCCCACGTCACCCTTGCCCAAAGCCTTGTGAGGCATCCCCCTCACATTGTTGAGTGGCCCGACTTTTCTCCATGCCAGGTCCACGTGGTGAGAACCACAAGGACACAGTCCTGCGACGCTGCGCTGAGCTGGTGAGCAATGGTGTTTGGGGAGTCTGGGGCCTCATCTTGAAAGTGGTCAGCTGGTGCTGATTAACCACAACTGCCCGCTTTCAATTCGAAGCTTTTCGGCCCGTTGGATATATAACCCTTGGCCAAACATTTTGCTTTCAAACATGCCACTTTTTTTCCTGTAAAAAAGGTGGTGCATTGATCAGTTCACCAGTGCGCAAATCCAGCAAAAAAGCCATGGATTACTCGCTGGAGCTCTTGATGGATGAGCCTCCTGTCATAGCGGTTAAGTGGGCTGCTGGAGCTGGCACTCCTGATGGTGACCATGGGAAGTCTTATGGCTGCAATGCTTGCTTCAACGTTAACATGCAACTCAAGTCTTTTCTGCAAGTGTTACATGAAAACAAGATGATGGAACTCAGGAAGCTAAAACCCATCTCTGAGCTTGATGGGAAACCGCCTCCATCGATTCCAGCTCTACCATAGCCGCCCGGAGCATGGCAAGCAAGTGGAGGAACTGGCTTGCAAACATGTATGTCAATATGCCTAATGAAAAATTACAAATATGTGTCTCGTATGACATCATGATCCGCCCATCCAAACAGGTTCTTGGCTCCAACGCATCGACTTCTGAATGGGGGAAAGTGAGGCCGCGCGGCCGTCTGAGCCACCGAGCGGGAAGCCACCGAGTGAGCACCGGCGCACCCAAGAATATCTGAAATATCCAAGAACTGGATCGATATATTCGATAGGCTGTTCGATAGTATCAAAATCGTGGATCTATAGTTGTCTGTTTCAAATTTTGCGTGATACAGAATCCTGCGTTACAGTTTCGGAGAGGGTATGCGCAAATGGGGTGATCGTGCAGACCAACATGGTTGGGTGGGGTGACTGTGTGGCTGCTTAATTTTAGACTTTTGAGATGCAGCTGGGATATCAAAACATTGTGTGAATTTGCGCTCAGTGCGCCGTTCAATTGCTTTCCAAATTTGATTTGTGTTTAGTTCCGAGAGCACTTTCAAAGCTGAAGTTTCAATTCCCTGCCCTACACGCAGTTCAATCATTTTGTGCCTTCCACCATCTTGATTTCAGCAATTTCAAGTGTTAACTTTCTTTTTGCCAAGGCCCCAGCGAAACACGTTGTGCAGCTGGCGAAGGCAGAGGTCGACAAGAATCCAAATGCCACTAGGGCGATGAAAAAGTTTGCAGCAATTCGATTGAAAGATGCTGAACAAGGAGTTCACAAGCTTTTGAGAGAAGAGGGTCCAAGTACCAGTGGAGAAGTTCATTGTGGGGCCGCAACTTACACTTCCCTACATCAAGCTCTCGTCATGGGCCATGGGTGAAGTTTCTTTTGGGTTCGAATAGGCTTCCAAAGTTGGTATGCCTACAATCGCAAAAATGAAGCTGGTCCTGAGGGAGTGTGGGCTAGATTCCGCTCTGTCTACCCAGATCATGGGTACTTAGCTCATGCCCAGAACTTGAACCATGGAATACCTTTGGAGGCAACAATACTCTTCTTTTCCCGCGCCGATGACGGTAGATCTTACAAGCATCTTGGGATTTGGGTTCTTTCTAGCGCTGGCTGCTTGGGCACACGAAGCCATATATTGCGGCAAATCGCCACAAACTACCACTACATGAAAATAGCACGGGTGCAAACTTTGTTGGGAAGACTTGGACCACTCAGTACCTCTTCACCACTGTGCTCAAGACAGTTTACAACAAGTATGGGGCAGTCTTGGAGGATTTGACTGCCATCTACGCTGATGACGTAAGAAACTCATGTATGAAGGGGTTGTTTCAGCTGATGGGAGTGTGCATGTATTCATGGCCCACATGGGTCTCAAGGCTGACCTTCCTATGCTACAGAAGATGGGACATTTCAAGCGGCGCTGGTCTCATGTGCTCCGACAGGCTTCCTCAAGAAATCCCTGCTGATCCCCAGTGCAACTGAGGCAATTGCAACGAAAGTGATGAACGTTGCCATCACTTTCATGTACCAAGCTGGATTTTGACTGAGAGGCAGTGACGCGAAGAGATTGAGTGGTTTCCTCTACATGTTTTGGTCCCAGTACTTGAAGTGCGCGCACTTGACGTTGCAGAGAGGTTTGCGCCGGTTTGCGGTTCTCCCGAAGGAACATATGCGGGCCCGTGACGCATTCCGTCTTTTGGTTGAAAGCAACCGCGTCGGCTCTAGCGGATGGATCATCAATCCAATTGTTTACACAAATCAAGTGCAAGAAGATTTGTTTGGGCGACCCTCGCGCTTGTCGCGTCGTGTGAACATCAAAGGACTGCATTGGAATGTAATCCGTCGAACTTTGATTGTGTACCAAACATGCCTATTGGACTCGGATTCTGACACTCGTGGTCTCGACTCATTTGAAGACGTGTGATCTATGAAATGTTTTGTTCATTTTTTACATAAGGTACAAACTTCTGTTGTTGCGGTTTTGCTTTTTTTTTCTGCTGACCACGAGCGCTTGTCGATCGAGCAAGGCAGGCTGAACAAGACAAGGGAGTGGGAAAGGGGCAGGGCCAGGATGAACAAAGGAGAACATACATGAGGATGAGATCAGTGAAAAACATAGAAATCGCAAAAGGCCGTATTTTTGTGAAAGGGACATAATTTGATATAGATGGGTGAACCATGTGCAATTTTATGAACTCTTATCAAAAGAAGGGACCAACCGGCCCCAGGTATATGCTATGGTTGCCTTGAACGATTTGCCAACTGGTGGACGCAATGGATTTGTGCCACCAAGTCGACTAAACTTTCAAGTCGCACGTTTTATCATTTCCAGTTTGTTCCTTTCTTCGACGCCTTTATGGCTACTTGGTAAATGGTTCTTAGTCTTTGGCAGCAAGTAGATGGTGATGATAGTTCTAGCAGGTTGGAAAGAAACCTGGGCAAACTCGCCACAGAGCATTTCTAAGCCGAAAGTGCACCCCTATCCGCAAAACTGTGGAAATATCAGTTTATATACGTATAACAAGACTATATATAATCCCCAGTACCTAATTTAATCGTACCCGTATTTAATTCAGAAGACTCATGTCGGAGTCGGAGAACCCTAAATACGGTTCATCGTATAATTGTGTTTAAATAGCCTGACTTTTTGGCTTTGAAACTCTTCCCAGGTTTCTGTACGAAATCTGCACTTTAAGCTTCACAAAGCGCAGCGCCTGACACGAAATCTGCATTTTATAAGCAATTAATCAATGATTCAAGGTCCTTTTGGACAACCCCGATTTCAGGGACCCCTGATTTAAAAAGATGCACCCGCGCTTTTTGTTAATGGGGGGAGGGCCGTGTTTTTGAATAGGTGGAGGGGATTATTACTGTGTATTATATGCATTCAACCGTAGCTGTTGTCCAACCAATCACCTCTAGCAGGCCTTTCTTGCCCTCCTTCTTCCATCTCTTGAGCACAGAAGGTCGCTTGGTGCCAGCGACGACGAACAGTTACCGTACTTCCAAGAACTTCTACCCCGAATAGTCTAGATTGTTGTATTACCAACGTGAAACGTGAGAAGAGATTTGTCATGTTTGGCCTAAACCGGTGCCACGTTAGTGTTTTGGCAAGACCTGAAAAGTTCCACGTCACGTTTGTGTGTTCTTGCTCAAACTTGAGACGCTGCTCCTGTTGTTTCTGGGGGAGTCCCTGGCTCAACAGGGCTCAGGGTAAGTTGGATATCGGGCGCCCGCTTTTTTGTTTTTTACACCGGATCACATAACATGGCATTTGGTACAGGCCCTCCAAATCATCAAATCGTTTTTGCTTGTGTTTGCAGCTATTATTTGTCGCCTCAAGAATGGGGACAGTACAGCCAGACTTGACCAGAAACAGTTCCGATTTGCCGCCCAGGCTGGCATTGCGGTTTTGCAAGAATCAACTCAGAACTTTACGAGAACATATGTGTGGAGCTTAGTCGACCTAAAGAAACGAGGGCGCAGCAGCTAACAAGACAATCAATATCAATACAACCATCAGATGCGGGGCGCCTTTTTTCAGAGGTGCCGTTCGCCCAGTGACTCCGCCTCCACCTCTAGTTACTCTCAACTGTCCACTAAGGACGTCTTCCAGCCAGATGATCGAGTAGCCCTAAGTAGCCCTAAGTAGCCCCATTTGCATGTAGCCGGTGTCGTGATTGGTGCAAGCGTCAGCGACCAGTCAAGTACTCAGCCGTGTTCCCTTTGTTTTTTTATATTCTTTTTAATTGCTTAGCAGGAGCGCGTGCTGTGTCGTACTGCTCAGCCTGAAGCAATTCAACGTGCTTGTCAGACCACAAGGGTGGGACCAGTTCCACGCACACTGACTGCCAAAGGCTTGAAGTTTCCGCTATTTTCACGAGCATCCAACTATTATATATATAGATGGTTTTTAAGTTGGTGGTAGCCGCGCTTTACGGAGAACCCTTTGCAACCGCTTTTGGGAAAACGGAGGTTTCAATTGGAGCATGGATTGTGCTTGGTTTATTCGCAAGGTCAATGCGGATGGGAATGCCTTTGAAGGACCTTGAAGGGTACTGTATCGACATGCAATAAACACTAGGGAAGCCTCGCTCATGGTGAAGAAATCAAGGCAACAAGCATTTGTCACAGAAAACTTCGGAGTTCATAGTGTAAACACCTGGAGCCTGGAGGGACCTGAACGAAAAACGTCTGGAATGATCAGAAGATCAATCCTATTCTAGAGCGAATGAAGCACGAAGCAAGAATGCAAGGACCAAGTCCAAGTCATCTTCCAGATTGGGACTTGCAAGCCTGAGGCATTTCATTCAGTATTTGATGCATCTTGCAGTCTCAGTCTCAAGATTTTTGGCCATGCCAAGCCAACAAAGCAGCGCCGTATCTGAGAACGCACTAGCCATTTGCAGAATCATGGAGAAGAGATGAGAAGTGCGGGGCACAATCCTCGAAACTATTGAGGTCTTATAAGGTCGACTCCAGTGGCTGCACAAGGATTCGTGCAAGTGTGGCGGCAACCCACCTTCAAGCACCTATGCTTGCCGGCCTGCTGAGTGTACATGACAAGTCTTTGTGGTGGACACGCAACTACCCATCGCACGAGGAGAGCAAAGCGGAACCCAGAGTGAAGCCTCAGCCACCCTGGAAGGTCAGCCGTCAGCCGAACAAGATTTCCTCAAGCATCCAAGTTATGAACACAAAATGGAATTCCGACGTTGCCTTGAATAAACAGTGAGCCGCTTCCATTCTGTAAGTTTAATGAACACCTGGGTCAGAGGAATTTGTCCGTTTATTGGTGTGAAGAGGCTTTCAAGAAGGAACAACGGTGTTGCAATAAGTTAAGGTCAAGATCCCTGCCTTGCAGAGATGGCTCCTTCAGCCCACATGAAACCCTGTTTGGCTGGCCCGATGCTCACTTTCTTGCAAACCCACAACTCAACCTCGCCTACCGGATGGCTTTCGTAGTAGCATTGTTTTGTATTGGGTCGATGGTTGCTACGCGTTATTGCAATGCCTCACGTCAGCTTCTTCACGCAACGCACACAACAGCCAGGTGAAAGGATGTGCATGGGGATAGTTTTGCTATGGTTTGCCTTTGGAACCGTTGCCAGCTGGTTGTGGAGCTAACAGTGAAGAGCTACCCAGGCAGCTACACCTGACACGTCGTTCGAGAATATTGCGCCCGTCTTGTCATTGGGCTGCTTGCAACTTCCTGTTGCAACCAGGCCATCGAGCATCACCTTCCAAATTGCTGTCAAGTGTCTATTTCCTTGTTTTTGTGTGTTCTTTCTTTTAACTTCTCAGAACGTCGAGTTTGTTCCTTGGTGTCCAATCGCATGTACCGAAGGGGCAGGGGCAACAGCGTGGCCCAGCAATCCAACACGGCAAACAACCGAGCAAACTGAAAGCGCAAGGCCCCAACTGCCTAACCATCAACAATCCAACATAATCCAACCATCATCACCACCACCATCATCATACAGGTGTAGAGGCGCAGGTTATGCACTTAAAAAATCAAGGTGGAAGGTGCCAAAGTGTGTGACTGTCGTCAAAAATCAAGGGGAAGGTGCCAACATGATCCAACATGTGCAACTGTCGTCGAAAGTCAAGATGGACGTTGCTAAAGTGCGACTGCGGTTAAAAACGAGGTGGAAAGCGCCAAAGTGTGCAATTGTCGGCGAAAATCAAGGTGCAAGTTACCAAGGAGTGTAACTGTTGTCGAAAGTCAAGGTGGACGTTGCCAAAGCGCATGACTGTCGCCGACTGTGGCTTCAGAACTGGCAACTTCTTACAAATGTAGTATAGTTCTGTCCACAAGTAAGAATGGCCCACAAGGGTGGTTCACAAGATTGTCGCACAAGAGTCACAAGAGTGTCCCACAAATGTGGTTTATAGGTAAGGGTGTCAACACTGTCGAAGAGTGTCCCTGCAAGAGTGTTGCGCACGATTGCCCCGCAGGTGTATCTTGAGGTGGTCACATCTACTTTATTTTTGCATTAGCCCCATTGCGATCGGCATCGCTACTATCACAACGAGCACCATCATCATCATCATCATCATCATCCTCGTCGTCATCATCACGGCCGTTATCAACATCATTGTTACCTTGTGTCCTCTCCTACTGCGCTTTCCACGCTGCCGTGTAGTTTCCAAATGTTCAGTGCATGTGAGGAAAGGTTTCTCAGGTCGCCGTTAATTGCGTCTATTATAGTGACGCCATGTCGCAACCAGTTTGATGCATTTGCAGCTCATGTCGTTTCGTTTGCAACCAACTTATTCAATGCAATTGTTTTGCAGCTTGCCGCTTCTTTTAGGAGCAGCTGGAAGGTAACTAGGCGCCGTATGTTGTTCGAGGTGCGGTAAAAGCCAGAAGCTGAGGTTGGAGGCTATGACTATGCCACCAGGGAAGCAGCTAAAGGCAAGTGCCAATCGCTGGGATATCAAGGATTATGCAGCAAAGCTGAAGTGGAAGGCGAGTCAGCTGGGTTTGACGGTTTGACATCCACAATTCCGGAAATGTTTTGCTTCTGGTCGTGAGCCGGAAGCTCCGTTGAAGCACAGACAATCAATTAAATTCTGACTTTGTTCCTCGACTTCCTTTAGCTCAGCTAGTGCAGCTTTGGTATTCTTCCAGTTGGTGGAATCTTGCAATTTGTCAGAGCGAAGCCCCTTTTGGCGGCCAACCGTTTCTTTTTTAAATACTGATGCATGCTGATACTGTTCCGGCATGCGCAGAGCAGACGTTTTGCCACGGCCGCACGCCGGCCTTTCACGTCAAATTTTGCAGCGCTGCCGAATATGGTAGCGGAGCGTCGAGCACCCTGAGATAGGGTCGTATATCGTCGATTGCATCCTGAGGTACATCAAGTGAACTTATTGAACTTATAACATAAGTTACTTATAGCTAGAAATAAGTAGAAATTAGCTAAAAATTAGCTAGAAATAGCTAGAAATTACCTAGAAATACCTAGAAATAGGTAAGAATTAGATATGTCTAAAATATGTGGTTTCTTATGTTTTTTAAATGCTTTTTGCTTTTCCTATGTTTTCGATTTATTAACCAAAAAACGTGTTTTCTCTTGAACATTTACCAGTTTTGTAAAACATTTCTATGCGGCCTAAGGGACGCTCTGATGCAGCAGAGCGGCCGTGAGGCCGCTTTCCTTTTTTCTTTCAAGCAGCTAGCCATGTTTTTTGCTAAATGGTCGAAACCAATGGTTTCGACCATTTAGCATAGTATTCTTTATCTTTACCGCCACGGCGGCGTTTTCGGCCTGTGGCTTCATAGGTTTTTTTACGGGCTGATTTCTTGGCATCCGCACAATGCAGTGCCAATTCGGCCTCAGACATGTGAGGAGCGATGTCATCTTCCTCAGTGCAGGAAGAAACTTCTGTTGGTAGCGGAGCTGTCACCGCAGAAACCACCGTGTTCTTCGAAGACGATGGGTTGGCTGCAGCTGTCACCTCACTAACCACTGTGTTTGCATCCATGTTCTTCGAAGACGAAGAGTTTGCTGCAGCTTTCACCGTGTCGTCATCTGCAGCCACCGTTTGTGGATTCGATGCTGCCAAAGAAATTCCATCGTCAGTGTCCGTATGTATATTTAGTTCCACGAATTTCGAAGATGAAGAGGGATGGTCAGGCACTGCAGTTTGTGGATTCGATGCTGCAAAAGAAATTGCATCGTCTTCGTCCTGTCACATAAACAAAAGAGTGGCCTGAGAGTCAGTTCTTGATGTTAAACATACGATGAGCCCAAGGTCTGTGTCATACAAAATGTGCTTATGTACCCACAGAAACACGTCGGACACTAGGAAAGATGGCTGTCCTCCTCCTTGGTCTGCAACCGCTGCAACCACTGGGTTTCTTTCTTGAGGTCGTAGCCGTAGCCCTCAACGGTTTCAATGGACTCAGTCTTTGCGTCTCCGACCTGTGTTGTGGAAGTGTGGAGTATCTCTCAATAAGGACATGTTTTCCAAAAATACTTTTGGTCTGAAAACCAAAACTTGAGTCGAAACTTGCAATACGAATGAGGCAAGAGACATTGTCCTCAGTTGTGTTTTCAGACTGGCTCTTCTCCACTGAAAGAGGCTTCGCCGCACCAGGTTCCTGCTTCACCTGCAAAACACCTTTTCGCCGACGTTTCCATGGTGGCGGTTCCTCCATAGTCTGGGGGTCGTATTTAGACTGCAAGGCAGTGAGCTATATTATATTCAAAACGCTTGTCCTCGTCATGTATGTTGTTTGTGGGTATATTTGTCTTGTCTGTTGTTTCTGACTTGCGTTTGTCCTAACATGTCGTGACTATATGTCATTTTGTTTGTGCTTTGTGTTTCAACCATGCTATACGTCATGTGTATTCGTTCGTGAGGTGGATATATAGCTGCTTGAGACCATTCACATAATTTGAGCCTGTTTACTTGTAAAGTGTCACAAGCAATCACATCAGAGCGTCCGTAGGGCCGCTGTCAAGATACCCTTTCATTAGAACTGGCTCATCTTCCTAAAAGCATATATGCAATAGGCAACAGTTGGCTCAAATAACATTGGGATGAAACAAATCGCAGTATCCAGGACTACTATAGACACACTATTTTCCAAATCAGGGAAGCTGAACGTGCTCGAATTTAGTTGTTGCATTTGTCACGAAAGGTAGCCCTTTAGGGGATACCTTGAGTTTGTCTTGCGAAGCAAGTGTTGGGACGTCCGGGTCTAATAATTGATCGCTCAATTCAGACCCCCCCCC